GACGCTCTGGTTTCGGGGGGAAACTCTATGGTCGGAATAGCTACATGGAGTTTATTTTATTGTATTTCTTTGGTTTTGGCCCCAAAACCAGAGCATTGCCGCTCAACACCCACGACACTTCCTGGTAACTTGGGCATGTCACGTTTATTTCCGAGTTTCTAGAGGTAAGAGGGAATAATAATTTTTTTTTGGGGGGGGGGAGCACCCAAAAAGTGGAAGACCTCCCACCCAGACCAGGGGACCTGGCAACCCTATTACCTGGGGGGAACCTGTGGAGAGGCAGTTTGGTGTACTGGTTAGGAGCGCAGACTCTAATCTGGGAAAACCAGGTTTGATTCCCCACTCCTCCACATGCAGCTGCTGGTGCGACCTTGGGTCAGTCACAAGTTCTCTCGGAGCTGTTCTCTCAGGAGCAGTCCTCAAGAGAGCTCTCTCAGCCCCACCTGCCTCACAGGGTGTCTGTTGTGGGGAGGGGAAGGGAAAGGAGTTTGTAAGCCTCTCTGAGACTCCTTTGGGTAGTGAAGGGCGGGGCATAAATCCAATCTCTTCTTCTTCTTCACACCTTGAAACAGCCACTGCCTGAGGAATGACTGACCCCACCCCACCCCGCGGGCAGTGTAGGTCTCACTCCAGGGATGGAATTAAATGTGGCCCTTTGGGTTGATGGGCATTGTGATTGTTGCTCACAGCAACCTTTGGAAGGAGTACCGCTGGCTGGTCGATCTCACAACCAGAGTGAATTTTGAGAGCCAGCATGGTGTAGTGGATAGAGAGGTGGATTTAGGACCCTGGGCGACACAGTTTCGAATCCTTCTACCATGGAGGCTCGCTGGGTGACTTTGAGCCCATTGCAAACTCTCAGCCTGGCTTTCCTCGCAGGGTTGTTGCATGAAAATATAGGCGGGGAGAAAAGTGTTCTAAGTAGAGATGTGAAGGCCCGGGAAAAAAACGGAAAAATTCAGAAAAAACCCGTTTTTTCCCCATTTTTTTCCTGAAGCCTTTTTTGTTTTTTTCCGAAAAATTGGAAAAATTGAAAAAAGAAAAGAAAAGGAAAAAAATTGATTATGGAACGTTTTATTTTAACATGATGAATAAAATATTTTAAGACAAGGTGTTCAAATATTTTCCAAATCATTTCTAAAAATACATATATATATGGTATCAGATTGATCTAATTTCTGTGCACTGAGGACAAGCAAGTCCTAGGTTACAAACTGAACCCTCCAATGCAAGAACAAGATGCATTTCTTCCTTTAGGAGGTGCTGTTGTCCGAAGAAAATAAAAAGGTTTCAGTTTTGTGTTTGCATGTGGATGGGTATTCAGTTTGGATACACTATATTTTCAATATGCTCGTTGTGATAATTTCATGCCAAGTAAAAATGTCCATAGTCATATTTTATGTTCCTAAAGTAACAGAATGACTTTCAATCTAGAAAAGAGAAAAGAAATGCTAATGTAGCATTTTTTTCAATTTTTCTGAAAATTTCCATTTTTTTCCGAGCTTCAAAATTTCTGGAAATTTTACATCTCTAGTTCTAAGCAATGCTCCCTCTAAGCCGTGGAGTCTTGTGAGCAAAAATTCTACTTTGTGAGCTACTGGCGTTGAAGTTGTGAATGAGCGATTTGGCTGCTGCATCAATTAGTTTGCTCTGGAGCCCTCCTTCCCAAGCTAAGACAAAAATGTGTGAGCGGGAGGCTAAAAAAAACTGTCAGCTAACTCCCACTAACTCAGCTTAGAGGGAGCACTGGTTCTAAGCCACTTTGAATTCCGACTGGGGAGGGAAGCGTGATGTAGAACAAAGAAAAGCAAATGCATGGGTAAATAGCATCTGGGGAACAGAGACTGGGAGCAGACCGTCATTTGGGCTGTTTCTAAATGCACTGCCCTTTTTTTGTGTGTCTCCCTTTCCCTAGACGCCAGCCTATCGCCGGACACGACTCACAGGAGCCACTGGTGCAGCGTCGCCTACTGGGAGCACCGGACCCGCGTGGGGCGCCTCTATCCCGTGTACGAACAATCTGTCAGTATCTTTTATGACCTACCTCAAGGGAACGGCTTCTGCCTGGGACAGCTGAACCTGGATCACAGGAGCGAGACTGTCCGGCGGACTCGAAGCAAGATCGGCTACGGGATCTTGCTCAGCAAAGAACCGGACGGCGTGTGGGCGTACAACCGCAGCGAGCACCCGATCTTCGTCAACTCCCCGACGCTGGACATTCCCAACTGTCGGACCCTGATGGTGCGCAAGGTGCTGCCGGGTTACTCGATCAAGGTCTTTGACTACGAGAAGTCTTGCCTCTTGCAGCACACCACTGACTTGGAATACCCAGACGGGCCTTACGACCCGAACAGCGTCCGGATTAGTTTTGCCAAAGGCTGGGGGCCGAACTACTCGAGACAGTTCATCACTTCTTGCCCGTGTTGGCTGGAGGTTTTGCTCCGCAACAACAGATAGCCGTCGGCCTTTGAGGAGGGGAGCGGCCACACCCAATATGAGACAGTCCCCAAATATCATCTACCTAGATTTAATATAAAAGTTTTATATATATTATATGAAAAATATATATATATTATACTTGTAATTATGGAGTCATTTTTACAATGTAATTATTTATGTACGGTGCAATGTGTATATGGACAAAAAAAGAGAAATGCACTTTGGCTTATAAGTCTTTCAATACAGATCTTCTCTTTTTTTCCCTAAAGGAGGGGGAGAAAGTTATACAGCAAAAGAAATTGGAATAGCGCCATGCTATGGCTGTATAGTTTCGTTTTTTAAAAACAAAAATCCCAAATGGTAATCCCCAGGCAAAAAGCTAATCCCACTCAGCCAGTCATTGATAATAAAGTATTTGCATTATAGCTGTTCCCCTCCAATCGTCTGTTTTTTCCAATGAGAGCAAAATGAGGAGGAGGAGGAGGAGATTGGATTTATACCCTGCACTTCACTACCCAAAGGAGTGGCTTACAAACTCCTTCCCCTCCCCACAACAGACACCCTGTGAGGTAGGTGGAGCTGAGAGAGCTCTTGACAGAAACTGCTCTTTTTCAAGGACAGCTCTTTTTTTCTTTTCTTTTTTTGAATAAGCTTTATTCGCTCCCCTAAAAAGGGGAGATTTTTCGCTAAAAATTAGAAATAAGGGAGGGTATAAAGAGGGACAGAGAAAAGAATGAGTGGTATTAGTAATATGTTAATCTGTTAAAACTATTTATAATCAAATCAGAGAATCCACAGTTTTCTTCTTCACCAAAGCTTCTTCTTTTCTTCCAGTAGTGTTAACCAAGGCAATTAGTATGTTAGTATTGTCCTTCTGGTATCTGATATCAGTTTATTCTTCCAAAGTAAAATCCACTAAAAGTAGAGAGCTAGCAGTTTTTAAGTTTTATAGTTCTTCCCACTTTTCTCTCTCAGGTTATACTTTGAACCCGACGCTCCTCCTTCTTCCTCGTCCTTCACCTCCCCTTCCGAGCTGCTGTCTTCTAC